TTCTTTTTTTATATATGATACCAAAAGAGCCAACTTAAGAATATAACTAATATATGTACAAGAACATAGTCATTAATTTTGTAAAATCTGACGTGCAGATCCAACAGAAATCCATTTTTACAGGACCGTCAGTGTGTCGCAATTGCTTAGTATTCGAGACAGTGTTTATATTATAATTGGTTCTCTCTCTTTCTGTTTGCTTGTAAAATTGTATGTATAACTATAATGTCGCATCTCAAATTGATCTTCCAGAGAGATGATTATGTGACCACTCGTGAAACATACATACTACTAGCGAATTCGATTTAATGCGCACTAATGTACATCAAAAAATTGTATACTGATTTTTTCTGAGTGTAAAAGTGAAAATATTCCGAATTATGAAATACATATTTTACCTAATACCACAATAAAGTAAAGATTTCGCGGTTTAATCCATTTCTATATGTATGTTAATTAAATACACATTTTTATGTTAATCTGTATACGACAGCTTAATGTGCAATCGAATTCGCTATGAATCATTACATAGAAATTGACATTCACACAAAAATATCCTACTAGTGCAGTGTTTTACAAATATTATGTGTACAGTTAATCTTTCTTTCTTCAAACTATCCAAGTCATCTATGACGATTTTTATAATCATCATTAATTCGTCCAATGTTTTACGCATTCATATATAATCATTTAAAATTCGTATTGTATTCAATACTTGTTTCAATGCTTTTTTCGTTTTGACACAATAAATATCTCCTTTAAATCCCGCTTTTTTCTGTTTAAAAAACAAAAAGCTGGATTAATAGAATAACAAACGTTTACAATAAAGATTTTACGTCATACAGATGTTAATCATATATTGATTGCAACTAACAAATACTAAAATAAAGATCGCATAGTAATTCAACACTTTACTCTTTGCCTTCATTCAACCAATTCAGTAATCCAAAAATAAAAAACTCCATGGATTAAAAGCCATGGCACATAGAAAAACTTAAGACTCAAATGAATCGATCAGTCAATCACAGTACAGACCATAAGATCATAAGTCTCAGTCCGCAACCTTGCTTTAAGAGACCTTAAGTCATAAGTCAAAAGAGATTAAGACAATAATTTCTGTCTTTAAACGGTCTTTAGGTTTTAACCGTTAGACTTAAGCGAATTGAGCAAAATCCAATTCTTATGGCCTAAAAGCATAAGTTCTGTGGCCGATATATCGTCACTTACAACTTACAGCTTACAGTTTACGGTCTCTTAAAGGTTGTGAACTTAGCCTAATATAAGAAATAGCGAATCCAACATGTTGATTTTCTTATTGCTTAGGTCTTATGTGTTAAGTTTTTCTGTGTGTAATGCTTAAAATTAAATTATAATAATAAAAAAAGTAACGTTAAAATATATAGTGTCATTATGGAGTATAATCAGATTAATGTTGCAGAAAATGTTTAAGATCTGTTTTCTCCATTTTATTTTCATAATGTTCATATTGTAACATAAAAAATTGTACCATGTTTATGTACATTGTATTTTCCTCTTCGATCCAGCATCCATCACAGTACTTCCTCGAAAACTACAATTTTACCAATGTTATGTTTCAATATAAATTTAATTTATGTATATATATATATATATATAT